TTTCATCTATTTGTTTGCTGGCCGCCCATTAAAACATAATTTAGGTCTCATAATTTGTATGTCTGGCCAATCTGAAAGGCCCTGCGCTGCTCTGCCAGCGCAACTCTATTGTTATAGCCCGATGGAGATATACAGTGGATACAAATGCATTTCCGCTTTTTATACAATAGTTATACATGTATGTATATGTGTATATATAACTTTTGGCAAAATGACATTCGTGTGTGAATGCGGGCTGGCATGTGAAAGGATCAAATAGTCATCCACAAATCACTTGGTCGAGCAGTTAAATTTTGTTGGCTTGTGCAATCGTTTGGAATTTATGTGAGCATATCTATGTGTATACTATAGTACTTGAATTATTTCCCTTATGGCAGCTCATTGGCAGCAATATCAAGCTGACAATCATTTGGGGGCCAGTTCGATATGGTCTTTCATTATTTAATTTTGACCCACAAACGGTTCCACGAGGCTGTCCCTTCCCCACAGCTTGATGCGTAAAAGAGGCCGATGCAGAGGCTGATACAGCATATTTCTCTTGTTCTATATATGTACATATAGAACCTATATACCATATACATGTATATGTATATGTGTTGGCATTTTGTTGTTCTGTGAGTGTGCGTACATCACATTATCGACTGCGTAGCGATTGGAGGGAGTGGATAGTTTATTTTTAATTAAATTCTGTTCCGAGCGCGTGAAAAGCTCATAAACTGGCCGGCCGCTGCGAAACATTGGTCCAAAAACTGCAACTTGGCAAATGTGTTAACATGTTTGTGGTGGCCATAAAAAAGGGGTTCCAGTCGGCGTCTGGACTCAGCATCCACTAAAAGGCAGCTACAGAGCGCCATGCGGCACGTTTTGGCGTCAGTTCGTTAGTGTGAACGTTGCTCGACGGGGGCGGCAGCGGGGGCGGCAGCGGGGGCGTGGCTCAAAAATTTAATTACTTTCACTTGTGCGAACTTGTGTTTGTCTGCCGGACGCACCAGCCAACCAGCCAGCCAGCCAGCCAGCCAGCCAGCCAGGCGTCCAAGCTGGACGAATAAAGGCGCCAGCTAAAGGCATTTAACTTAAATGTAATGAAATCGTACCCGTGTACGGACTGTAAGCCACGCACGTTTGCTCTCTTGTGTTCTGTTTTTTAGTTCTCAGTGTGCGTCGGCCGGCGCTAGATTTCTTTTTGTTCTTTTGAATGCCCGTTGGCTCCAGCTCGCTCACAGAGGTTTCAGATGCTATTACTCGAAGACTGCCAGTGCCATCTGTGGGATTTGTGACGCATTATGTGCAAGTTTTCTCGCCTGCTGTGCTTCAAAGTGCATTGGCTTTTCAGTGAATTTCCGTCGCAGACTTTTGCTATCCTTTGCTCTGGCAACTGACTTAAA